CGCATCCCCGAGCAGCAGGGCCACGCGATCCACACAGAGCCACTGCTCCTCGGCCAGGCCCTTCCTGATCCCAGCAGCGGTGCTCAGTGGGGGCCCGACCGCCAGAAGCCTTCCACAAGAAGCCCAACCCTGGGACCTCAGGACGTCCATCGATCTGTGGGCGTGGGAACGTCACGCGTTCCATCGCAGAGCCACCGACACCTAAGAAACCCAGGGCACCCCGAAGGCAGGCAGGGTGTGTCTTGGCACGGGTCTCCACTAGAGGCCTCCCAGATGGGGTCCGAGTAGATGGCGTTGGAGGATCTCGCCGCATCGCCGATACATCGGCGGTGCATCGCCGATGCATCGGCGATGCATCGGGGATGCACTGGCGACGTCGGCGGTGCATCGGCGACGTCGGCGTGGAGAAAATTGGGCCCCACATCGAGCTGCATCGCCGATGCATCGCCGATGCATCGGCGACGCGGCGCGATCCTCCGACCCCATCTACTCCGACCCCATCTGGGAGGCCTAGGTCCACTGTCCGCCCCCCTGGCTTGGCCGGGAGGGCTTATATACACGGTGTGGCCACCACCCCGTCTGGGGGCCCCCGATCCACTGTCCGCCCTCCTGGCCTGGCCGGGAGGGCGTGTATCAACGGGCGAAGAACGGTATAACATAAACTTGTTCGCTGTCGGGGGCGCCTGTCCCAGGGCGGCTGGAAAGTTTATACCCTTACAGTGGCACCGTAGGGGTATAAACTTTCCAGCCGCCCAGGGACAGGCGCCCCCGACAGCGAAAAAGTTTATCTTATACCGTTCTTCGCTCGCGGAGTGTACCCCGCTGCTGGGTTCAGGATATCGGCCTTTGCCGAGGAGCACGTGGACCTGAACAGACGGCGCCGCCCGAGGAGCCCCCCCGCGGGCGACGAGGCGGGCAGAGCGGCAGCTGCTCCGCCGTCGGGGGCGCCTGCTCCCGGGCGGCTCGGCGGTTTGTACCCCTACGTGGCACCGCAAGGGTATAACGGGACGCACGGAGGCATACTCATACCGCATAGACCACCCTTCGGGTGATAAGGAGGTGAGGGGGGGAGGGACCACCGTCGCACTCGATCGATCTGACTATCGATCTCACTATCGATCCCATTATCGATCTCATTCGATCGATCTCACAATCGATCTGGCGATCGATCTCACAATCGATCTCACTATCGATCTCACTATCGATCTCGCATTCGGTCTCACTATCGATCTCACTATCGATATCACAATCGATCTGACAATCGATCTCACATTCGGTATAACTATCGATATCACTATCGATACCACTATCGATTCCATTCAATCGATGTCACGATCGATCTCACAATCGATCTCACAATCGGTATCACATTCGGTCTCACTATCGATCTCACTATCGATATCACAACCGATCTCACAATCGATCTCACTATCGAACTCACTATCGAAGTCATTATCGATCTCTCGTTCAGTCTCACTATCGATATCACAATCGATCTGACAATCGATCTCACATTCGGTCTCACTATCGATATCACTATCGAACTCACTATCGATCTCATTATCGATCTCACAATCGGTATCACTATCGATATCACTATCGATACCACAAACGATCTCACAATCGATCTCACATTCGGTCTCACTACCGAACTCACCATCATCATCATCGGGACACCGACGGGACACCGGCGGGACACCGCGGGGCCCGGGCCGCCCGGAAGGGAATCCTTTGGTCCGGCCGCGCCTCAGCCACACGGGACACCAGCGGGAAACCGGCGGGACACCGCGGGGCCCCGGTCGCCCGGAAGGGAATCATTTGGTCCGGCCGCGCCTCAGCCACAGGAGACTTTCTCTCGCCCGCCCACGCAGCTTCGCCTCGCCCGCACGCACGGCACGCACGAACGCGAAACCGAAATCGATTTCCCGGTAGGGGGGCTCTCCGTTCCGCTTCGATCTCACCCCCTCACCTCCGACTATGTGTCCTCCTTCGAGGCGCGCGCGTCGAGATTTCTCGGTGCGCGCGTCGCCCCTGGGGGGGCGACGCACACACAAGATCAGTATGTTGGGGTGGCGCCGAGAGAACCTCTGCGGCCGCACGGGGGGCAAGCGTCCCCAACTACAGTCGGGGCCTCGACATAAGGAACCCTAAGTAAGGAACGAGGCCCCTCTTTCCCAGAAGTTGAACTTCGACTTCCTGCCGAAGACATAGGGAAAGCCTGAGGCAAGCTGTAAAAACACTTAGGGAACGCGGAGCCCCTCCCCAACGAAAAGGGTTCCTTGTTCAGGGCCCCGACTGCATAATGGGACGCACGGAGGCATACTAATACTATGCGCCCTCCTTGGAGGCGCGCGCGTCCGACCCGAACACATAATAGTACACCCATCCTCTAGTGCATCGCTTCCCGAGCGGTGCGGCCAGAGAGCGCCCGCCACAGCGCATATACGTTGAGATTTCTCGGTGCGCGCGTCGCCCCTGGGGGGGCGACGCACACACAAGATCAGTATGTTGGGGTGGCGCCGAGAGAACCTCTGCGGCCGCACGGGGGGCAAGCGTCCCCAACTACAGTCGGGGCCTTGACATAAGGAACCCTAAGTAAGGAACGAAACCCCTCTTTCCCAGAAGTTGAACTTCGACTTCCTGCCGAAGACATACGGAAAGCCTGAGGCAAGCTGTGAAACACTTAGGGAACGCGGAGCCCCTCCCCAACGAAAAGGGTTCCTTGTTCAGGGCCCCGACTGCATAATGGGACGCACGGAGGCATACTAATACTATGTGCCCTCCTTGGAGGCGCGCGCGTCCGACCCGAACACATAATAGTACACCCATCCTCTAGTGCATCGCTTCCCGAGCGGTGCGGCCAGAGAGCGCCCGCCACAGCGCATATACGTTGAGATTTCTCGGTGCGCGCGTCGCCCCTGGGGGGGCGACGCACACACACAATATCAGTACACCCTGCGAAATGCTTAAGAAATCATGGGTTAAGAAATTCAGAGTCTCGGAATTTGAATAAAAACCCAGAGTTCCTCTGAAAATCTTAGGATTTACATTGAAACATTAAGAATAGTCGAGACTCTGGCCGAAAACGTAAGTTTTCTTAAGCATCGTCTAGGGTGTATGTTGGGGTGGCGCCGAGATAACCCTTGCGGCCGCACGGGGGGCAAGCGTCCCGAGCTATAACCTTCGTGGCATCCGTGCTCGGTTGGCTAAGGATGGTGCTCGTGCGGCCGCTCTGGGGCCCGACGCTGCACAGGCCGAGGGCGGCAGTGTCTGACGAGGATTTAGGGTCGAGGAGAGATGGGCAAGGATGATGCGGGGGGGAAGAGGAGGGCTGGGGAGACGACTGAGGACTGAGGATCATGTCGGAGAAGGGTTGTGTGAGAGGGTCGAGGAAGGTTTGGTTGGATAGAGGGGGAGGGGAGAGGGCAGGAAGAGAAGGGGGGAGGAGACGGATGGAGATGGATCAGAAGGAGGGCTTGGGGGGAGTTGCTGGAGAGTTGAAGAGGACTGGACGGTTGAAGGGAGGGTCGGTGGAGAGCTGATAAGGGCTAAGAGTGAATACATCTGAGAACAGAGAATATGAGATAGTACGTGTGGCACAGGACAGAAAAATGTGGTGCAGAGAGGAGGGAGTGGAGATGTCAGATGAGAGAGGGCAGCCGAGGGACAAGAGAGGAGGGGGGAGCCGAGAGGTCGGTGTGGGCGTGCTTGTCAATGCACAGTCCAGTGCCAGGGCTAGGAGAGAGGAGGAGGAGGAGGAGGAGGAGGAGGAGGGGAGGAGGGGGAGGAGGAGGAGGGAGGAGGAGGAGGAGGAGGAGGAGGAGGAGGGAGGAGAGGAGGAGGAGGAGGAGGAGGAGGAGGAGGAGGAGGAGGAGGAGGAGGGAGGGGGGGGGGGGGGGAAGGAAGAAGGGGAGGAGCACGGGTGGAGGAGACAGAGGCAAGAGGCAAGCCAGGGTGCGCTCGCGCCACATCTGAGATCCGATCCTCCCGCCCATCCCTTCCCGCCGTGCTGCTGATGTCCTATCCGCAATCGGCCCAGGGGAGCTGTGAAATATAGGAGGAGGAGCAGGAGGAGGAGGAGGAGGAGGAGGAGGAGGAGGAGGAGGTGGCGGAGGAGCAGCAGGAGGAGGAGGAGAAGGAGGACAGAGGAGAAGGACAAGGACGGACCGCAGCAGCAGAGCTGGGGTGGAAAGCAGGAGAGGAGCAGGGGGACCCGGGGAAGGCGGAGGAGGGGGAATGAGGGGGGGCGAGAGCGGTGAACAAAGACTCGGCAACAGATGAGTGGCCCGCACTGGGGCGAGCGCGCAACTTTGAGCGACGTGAGCAAAGCGTCTATCCGAAAACGAGGCCGACACTGCAGCGGGAGCACCGCTCTCGAAACACCGAAGACATTGGGATGGTAACCAACAAGAAGGAACACATGTGTCCAATCGTGTCTGTGAGCCAAAAAACATACGCGGAGAGGATCGGGCAAGTTCTGGACGAGATCGGAGGAGAGAGGAGAGTCGTATTACCATTGGGCAGTTGTAGAGGAGCGAGGAGAGAAGAGGGAACGAGGGAGGAGAAGGATGAGGCGACGACGAACTGCGCAGAAGAGAGAGGCGACGAGGAAAGAGGAAAGAAGGGGGAGACGGCGAGAGAGGAGGGGGAGAGAGGAGCGAGGGACAGGAGGAGCGACGAGGAGGGGACAGGCCCCGAGACCAAAAACAAAGACTCCGGAACGTACGAGAACCTCGTCCCCGATGCTCCTCCAGCTTCCTCCTCCTTCTCCTGCTCCTCCTCGGTCCTCCTCCTCCTCCTCCTCCTCCTCCTCCTCCTCCTCCTCCTCCTCCTCCTCCTCCTCCTCCTCCCCCTCCTCCTCCTCCTCCTCCTCCTCCTCCTCCTCCTCCTCCTCCTCCTCCTCCTCCCGCCGGCGCGGAGAGGACGCGGGGAGAGAGAGAGAGAGCCGGCCGCGCCGCAGGCGATGGGCGCCGAAAGAGGGTGCCCAGCGCGCGCGGGCGTCAGTCCTTGCGCACCTGGCGGGGGGAGGGCGGCGAAGGGCGGAGGGGGAGGCCGACGGGGAGGATTGGGCTCCCAACGTCGCGCTTCGCGCTGCGCGAAGTGCGAACAATAGCTTCGCGCTCTCTCGCGCCGCCTCCCAGGGGGAGAAGAGGAGGAGGTATCGGAGCCGAGCCGCGAGGCGCGAATCGCGAGTAACTTCGCGCCCTCGTGGGCGCCCTTGGGGAGGATGGGATGGGGAAGTTCAGTTCAGTTCAGTTGGGGCGGTATCAGCCCAGGAAACTTGCTCATTAAGCTGCTCTGCGCTCACGCACTGCGACGAGCGACGCGTTGGCCACTCTCACAGGTCAGTGCACGAACACACACACACACACACACACACACACACACACGTTCTGACATGGGAATATGGAGGGAGAGGATGGGAATAGGGAGGGGCAGTGGTGTGATGGAGGAGGCTGATGGGGGAGGAGGGAGGGGAATATGGAGAGGGAATGGCGTGATGGAGAAGGCTGATTGGGGAGGAGGGGGAGTGGAGGAAGAGGAAAGGGCGGGTGGAGGGGCATGGAGGGGGGGGGCATGGAGGGGGTGGAGTGGAGGGGGAATGAAAAGGGGGCGGGGGGAGAAAGAATGACTGCGGGGGGCAGGCTCCCGAGGCCGGCCTCCCGTCGGGTCTCAGGCGGGGGCATAAGGGCCGAGTCGGCCTCGGGCTCCCCCCGCCCTGCCTTTTTGTCGAAGCCCTCCATGGGATCCTTCCTCCCGCAGCCAGGAAGAAGGGTACACCCTGCGAGATGCTTAAGAAATCATGGGTTAAGAAATTCATAGTCTCAGAAATTAAAGAAAACCCAGAACTTCTGTCAAAATCTTGGGATTTACATTGAAAAGTTAAGAATAATCGAGACTCTGGACGAAAACTTAGCTTTTCTTAAGCATCGCCTAATGTGTACACTCAGAGCTCTGCCACCAAAGAGCTCGGGAGAGAAGCCCTTGGCTCTCGGCTGCGCCGACGCGCACGAGGAGCTCCAGGGAAGGGTGCGCGGAAAGTTCGGTGGCAACTCATGCGAGCCTCCCATACCATCTTGTCGGCTCTTGCAAATCGACGCTACTCGACACTAGATCGACGCTGCTCGACGCCAGATCGCCGCCAATCGACTCGACAATGAATCGGCGCTGGCTCATCGGCTCCCAGACGCTGATCGACGCTAGTCGATGCAAAAGACAGAATTGCGAAGGTACCCAAGGCTCCCAAGATTTGCTACCGAAGCGGAAAGTGCTGGGGAACACCCAGCCGCTGTCGAGACCAGAGCGAGCCGACTCCCAAGGCTTCGGCTTCACAGGAGGGAGGTCTGCGGCCGCTCGAGGACTCGGTAGGACCTCGCGAGGCCTGGGGGGAGGCTGGGAGAAGACAAGCCACATCCACAATAGGGTATGAACCAAAATAGAAGGCAGAACCGGGAGGGGTGAGGTAGAAGTGGTAAGCTAATAGCAACCTGCCAATCAAGATACGCGCGCGCACGCGTGCCAACCCACGCGGCCTGGCTTACCCAGTCGCGCGCAGGACTTTCGGAACTGGCACGCTGTGCGCAGAGGTGTGCCGACGCTGCCACAGCATCCAGGCGTCCGAAGACGTGCGCATCCCCGCGCGCGGATCTGACCTGGTACGCTCATGCGAATGCATCTGTGCAAGCGCGGCACAAGTAAAGTCGGCGGCGCGCCCGGGGGAGGAAGCGAGACGGGACGGGCCTTCTCAGAAGGCTCGAAGTCCCTCGGCCTTCTGAGAAGTTTTGTAAGCCTTCCCCGAAGACAGAAAAAACATCGCAGAAGGCGCGAGGGCTTCTGAGAAGTCCCGCCGCCTTCTGAGAAGGCCTTCTCCTTCTCACTTCCCCCCCTCGCTCGCCGCCGAGAAAGGGCATGCCCCGAAACAGAACAGCACGCGTCCTCCGGGGCATCCGCTCCCAAGAACACGTCGCCCCACGGGCGTGCTGGTGAGCCGCTGCACCTGCACGGGCAAACCCTCGCCTGCGCATGGGCCGCAACGCGGCCCAGAGCCTGCTTGATTCTGACGCCCCCCCCCTGCCCACCCACCCCTTCCTCCTCCTCCTCCTCCTCCTCCTGCTCCTCCTCTCCTCCTCCTCTCCTCCTCCTCCTCCTCCTCCTCCTCCTCCTCCTCCTCCTCCTCCTCCTCCCCGCTCCGCATGGGCATCCGCGAGACCAGCACCTCTTCGGTCTTCTTCTTGACTGTGGCGTACAGGTCCTTGGCAAGAGGGAGGACGTCCCGTGCTGAAGCAGGCTCAACCATCACTCGCCCATGCCCCTGTCCTCCTCTCGCCTCGCTTATCCCTCTCTACTCGCCCCTAGTCCTCGCCCTGCGTTCCTCCTCCTTCTCGTCCTCATCTTCCTTCTCCTCCTCCTCCTCCTCTTCCTTCTCCCCTCCTCCTGATCATTTCGTCATCATGTTCAGCACCCATCGTGCCCATCCGTCTTTGAGGTCCATCGCCATCGGCATCATCAATCCTCCTCCGCCACATCATCAGCAGCAGCAACATCGTCATCATGATCATCATCAGCATCGTCATCAGCGTTATCATCATTATCATCATCATCATCAGCATCATCATCATCATCACCATCAGCACCAGCAGCATCGGCATCATCACCAACAACAGCATCAACATCAAGAGCATCATCATCAGCAGCAGCGTCATCACCAGACTAATCATCATCCTCAGCAGCATCACCAGCATCATTAGCAGCAGCAGCGGCATCATCATCAACAACAACATCAGCATAATCATCCTCATCGTCATCGTCATTAACATCAGCATCATCCCAATCGTCAGCATCATCATCAGCGGAAGCATCGCCAACAACAACAACATCAGTCACACAAGCAGAATCATCAGCAGCAGCATCATCCGCAACATCAACATGAGCAGCATCCTCGCCGTTTGCATCATCACCGTCATCACCATCATCGGCAGCCTCATCAACACCATCAGCATCCTATTCGGCAGTATCTGAAATATCACCGGCCTGATCGTTGTCAACGTGATTATCATCGTCGTCATCATCGTCATCATCACTGGCATCACCATCATCATGGTCACCAAGGTCACCGCCAAAGGCATCCTACTCACAAGCGAGATCGTCATCCTCGTCATCGTCATCATGGTCGCCACCACATCCATCATCAACAACTGAATCATCACCACAATCGTCGTACTCACCACCGTCGCTATAGACATTATCATGAATCCCAGAAGCATCATCACCGTTAACACCGTCGTGTGTTTCATATGACTCTTACTTTCTGGGCCCATGATGGTCATACACATCATCGGCAACATCATCAACATCACTATTACAATGATGAGCAGCATCATCACCGCCATCACCATGGGCAATACCATCACCAGTACCATCATCAACAACAGCATCACCAACACCAACATAACCATAGTCGTAGTCAAAACCACAGATAACACATTCGCCATCGCACATACCATAACATCACACATTGTCGTTATGCTGTCCATGCTCCGTGTTTCCGCTTCCTCATCATCAATGCCGCCCTTGTCCGCGCCCCCATCGCAATGCTCATCATCCCCCTTCCGCGTCTATATCCTCGAATGCCTCCTCATCCCCCACAATCCCTACGTCTTACTTCCTACTCACATCGTCCTCCTACTCCCTACTCCCGTCGTCCTCATCATCCTCCGCACCCTCATCCCCCTCTCACATCCCTCCAACCTCGTCCTCCTCATCGCTGTCGCCCGCAACTTCACCTTCTCTCCGTCACAGAAAAGATCGAGAAAGAGGTTCAGATCGTTAGGAGAAGGATGAGGAAGATACGGCCAACGAGGAAAGGAGGAGGTCGAGGTCGAGGGAGAGGAGGAGGAGAGAGGATGGAAGGAGGGGCAGGAGGAATACAATTGTGAGGGAGGAGGTCGAGGATGAGGATGACGAGGAGGTTGTGCGTGAGCCCGAGGAGAACGCAGTCCAGGAGGCGGCGGAGGTTGCTAGGTCGATGCACAGAAGTTGCAGGAAGCGGGCGAGGAGGAGGCGAAGCGGAGCAAGAGCAGGTGGGGAGAAGAAGTGGATGAGGGGGAGGGGGAGAGGGGAGGACCAGGGATGGGAGAGTGCAAGGGAGATCGCAACAGAGAGAAAGAGAGATAGAGAGTTCATTCGAGGGGCAAGGGGGGCGGGAGAGGGAGGGGGAGCTGAGCAAGAGCGGCGTGAGTAGGTGAGAAAGAGAGGGCACAAGGAAAAGAGGCAGAGACAGGGGAGGAGGGGATTGGGAAAGGATTAAATGGAGGCGGGGCTGGGGAGGGGGCGGTTGGAGGGGGCGGGGGTTGCCTAACTAACTCGACGCTCAAGTCAGGAGGGTCAAGGACTCCTCCCGTGTGAAGAAGTCCCCCGCGAAGCGCAGGATGTTGTCGGGCTTGTATTCCAAGACCTGGTGGACGAACACGCTGATCATGTCCTGAGATCGCTACGCGGATTTCTCCCCTTCGCACCGCCATTGCCCCGCCCCAACCCTCCTGCTTCCCCTCGACCTCTTCCACCATCCTCCACCCTCCTCCTCTTCCTCCTCCTCCTCCTCCTTCTCTTCCTCCTGTTTCTCCTCCTACTCCTCCTCCTCCTCCTCCTCATCCTCCTCTGGAGATCTCAAGGTTCCCAGAGGGCTGCGAGCTGAAGGAGGTGATCAATAATCGTTAGCAAACACTGATCGAACCTCGAATCTCGATCTCCCACCTCTCCTTCTTTCGCCTCCTCCTCCTCCTCCTCTTCCTCCTTCTCCTCCTCCTCTGCCCTCCTCCTCCTCCTCCTCCTCCTCCTCCTCCTCCTCCTCCTCCTCCTCCTCCTCCCCCTCCTCCGCCTCCTCCTCGCGCCTCCATCCTCCCGTGGCTTCTCCTCCGCCCGTCCCGTGGGCTGCCTCGAGCGCTGCCGACCCCCGCCTTCGGCACGGCCTCCGCCCAAGGCGAGGGGCTTTAAAAGGGAGCGACAAGAAAGAGGGGGCGGAAGAAAAAACACTTTTCGGGCGCATGTATTCGAGCCGCCAAGAAGTCAGAATCTCGGTCAATTTCTGGAGATCTCAGCGAAAGTTTCCGGACGCCCCAGAGGTCGCTGGAGGACTCTGGAGACCTCTGGGAGCCCAAAAAGGCACCGACATCGGCATCTCCCTTCTTTTCCCTTCTCCTTCTCCTACTCCTCCTTCTCCTCCTCCTCCTCCTCCTCCTCCTCCTCTTCCTCCTCCTCCTCCTCGTCCTCATTCTCCTCTTCCTCGACGCTCCTGCTCCTCCTTTTGACGTTGATCGGACTTCAGGCACGGAGCTCACAGCGTACATCCTGCTCCTCCTGCTCCCCCTCCCCCTCCTTGTCCTCCTCCTCTTTCTCCTCTTCTTTCCTCGTCAGACTTCTTGAGTCAGCGATTTACTCAGGCCCCAGGGGTTTCTGCTTCCTTCCTCACCCGCATCTGCCTCTGGCGTTGGGATCGATGTACAGACCGGGCAAAGGACAGGACAGGGATCGCCAAAAATCGTGGCTCTGGCTGCGGAGCAGTTCCCCCATCCTCTTGTTGCGGCCGGTGCGGAGGACTACAATTCCCAGGCCTCCTGTGGTGTTGGGTCATCGTTTTGAATCCGCAGCGCCGCGCGTCTCACCTGACCTAGGACATTAGGAGGGGGACGCGCCCTGCGATACACGCAGCTGCACCTCCCCCTCCTCCTCCTCCTCCTTCCTCCTCCTCCTCCTCCTCCTCCTCCTCCTCCTCCTCCTCCTCCTCCTCCTCCGCCTCCTCCTCCTCCTCCTTCTCCTCTCCTCCTCCTCCTCCTCCTCTCCTCCTCCCCCCCCCCCTTCCCCCCTCCCCCCCCTCCCCCTCCCCTCCTCCCCCTCCCCCTCCCCCTCCTCCTCCTCCTCCTTCCTCCTCCTCCTCCTCCTCCTCCTCCTCCTCCTCCTCCCTCCTCCTCCTCCTCCTCCTCCTCCTCCTCCTCCGCCTCCGCCTCCGCCTCCGCCTCCGCCTCCGCCTCCGCCTCCTCCTCCTCCCTCCTCCCTCCGCCTCCTCCTCCTCCTCCCCTCCTCCTCCCTCCTCATCCTCCTCCTCCTCCCTCCTCCTCCTCCTCCTCCTCCTCCTCCTCCTCCTCCTCCTCCTCCTCCTCCTCCTCCTCCTCCTCCTCCTCCTCCTCCTCCTCCTCCTCCTCCTCCTCCTCCTCCCTCCTCCTCCTCCTCCTCCTCCTCCTCCTCCTCCTCCCTCCTCCTCCTCCTCCTCCTCCTCCTCCCTCCTCCTCCCCCCCTCCTCCTCCTCCTCCTCCTTCCTCCTTCCTCCTCCTCCCTCCTCCTCCTCCTCCTCCTCCTCCTCCTCCTCCTCCTCCTCCTCCTCCTCCTCCTCTCCTCCTCCCTCCTCCTCCTCCGCCTCCTCCTCCTCCCCCCCTCCTCCTCCTTTTCCTTTTCCCCCCCCTCCTCCTCCTCCTCCTCCTCCTCCTCCTCCTCCTCCTCCTCCTCGTCCTCCTCCTCCTCCTCCTCCTCCTCCGCCTCCTCCTCCTCCCCCTCCTCCTCCTCCTCCTCCTCCTCCTCCTCCTCCTCCTCCTCCTCTCAACCTTGATCAAAGGCACGGCCTGCAAACCAAAACACCTCCTGAGCCCAAGGTGGCCCTCATTCCGACGTCGTGGCCGTAGGAGAGGGAGACGCAAAGGGAGAGGGTGTGGGGAAGAGAGGAGAGGTAGGAGAAGCAGCGACACCAGGAGGGGGCGCCCGAGGAGGGGGAAGGGGGGAACGAGGAGGGCCAGGAGGGAGGGGGGAAGGGGCGCACGAGGAGGATGGGCAAAGGGGGAGGGGCGCACGAGGAGGATGCGCAAGGGGGGAAGGGGAGGAACGAGGAGGGGAACGGCGGAGGTGGCGTGGGGTGGGGAGGAGCAGAGCGTGCCTCCGAAGCCCATCGCCCATCGCAGCCCCCCCCGCCATCGCCCATCCCCCTGGGCGTTCCGCCGCCAGGCGCCGTGGCGAGCGCTTCGAGGCCGGCACAGATGCGCGACGCCGCGGCCTTACAGGCCCGCGCCCTCCCGGGAGCAGACCCCGAGGCCACGTGCCACCCACCCACCCCCGGAAGAGGAGGAGGAGGAGGAGGAGGAGGAGGAGGAGGAGGAGAAGGAAGAGAAGGAGGAGGGGGAGGAGGAGGATAAGAAGGAGGAGGGGCGGGAGGACGAGGAGGAGGAGGAGGAGGAGGAGGACGAGGAGGAGGGGAGAAGACAAACTAGGTGCGCTCGCGTCATATCTGACGTCCTACCCCTCCCTCCCATCCCTTACCATGGCGCTGATTTTCTCTATCCGCGGACGCGTGTCGTAGCGGACCTGTGGCTCCGCGCGCGCGTGCGTAGTGGGTGGTGGTGCACGTGCGTGCGTGCGTGCGTGTGTGCGTGCGTGCGTGCGTGCGTGCGTGCGTGCGTGCTTGCGTGCGTGCGTGGGTGGGTGGGTGGGTGGGTGGGTGGGGTGGGTGGGTGGGTGTGGTGGGTGGTGGGTGGGTGGGTGTGTGGGTGGTGTGGGTGTGGTGGGTGTGGGTGTGGTTGTGGGTGTGGTGTGTGGGGTGTGGGTGTGGGTGTGGGTGTGGGTGTGGGTGTGGGTGGGTTGTGGTGTGGGTGGGTGTTGGGTGTGGGTGTGGTGTGGTGTGGGTGGGGTGGGGTGTGGGTGTGGGGTGTGGGCGTGGGCGTGGGTGTGGGCGTGGGCGTGGGCGTGGGCGTGGCGTGTGTGTGTGTGTGTGTGTGTGTGTGTGTGTGTGTGTGTGTGTGTGTGTGTGTGTGTGTGTGTGTGTGTGTGTGTGTGTGTGTGTGTGTGTGTGGTGTGTGTGTGTGTGTGTGTGTGTGTGTGTGTGTGTGTGTGTGTGTGTGTGTGTGTGTGTGTGTGTGTGTGTGTGTGTGTGTGTGTGTGTGTGTGTGTGTGTGTGTGTGTGTGTGTGTATGTGTGTGTATGTGTGCGTGTGTGCGTGTGTGCGCGTGTGCTGTGGCATGGCACGGGAAATGACGCAAGCGCTGCAGCGGGAGCACGAGTCGAAACTGGCGGAAACGCGGAAAGGAGGCCAGCGCTGCAGCGGGAGCACGATTCGGAACGAGCGGAAGCACGGAAATGAGGCCAGCGCTGCAGCGGGAGCACGATTCGGAACGAGCGGGGCCCGAAAATGAGGCCACCGCCTCAGCGAGAGCAGCATTTTGAAAAAAGCATGCGAAAACCCGACTCCCGGGAATCCTGTGTGTAAAAAACCAGGACGCGGGGGGGGGGTCGGCTACTCCCAGCACGCCATCCGGGGAAGAGGGAGAGCAGTATTCATACTGAGCAACTGTGGAGGAGGAGGAGGAGGAGGAGGAGGAGGAGGAGGAGGAGAAGGAGGAGGTCGGGGAGGAGGACTTCCTCCTCCTGTATGCGCCCGCCTCCTGGCTGCCGCCCCGGAGCGGCCTCGCGGCGGCCACGCAACATAGCGTCAGCTTCGTGCCTCGTTGAAGGGAAATTAGGACACACAAATAAATACACACAAATAAAATGAATTCCCCATATTTTCCTATATTTTCTGGGTTTTTGTCTTCCCCACCACTTCCCATAGTTTCCCATATTTTCTGGGGGATCGAGGATTCATTGGGTCTGTGTGTTTTTTTCCCTCGTGCCTCGTGCCCGCGCGGTGCACGGCGCGGGGCTCTCCTCGCGCCCTGTGCGCCACCCCGCAGAGAAAAAACAATATGCCACCCGGCCCAGAGACCGCGAAGCGCGAGGGGCGAGGCACGCCCGCGGGCCCGCGGCCCTGACGAGGAGGAGGGGGAGGAGGAGAGGGAGGAGGAGGAGGAGGAGGAGGAGGAGGAGGAGGAGACGGAGGAGGAGGAGGAGGAGGAGGAAGAGGACGACGAGAAAAGGAAGGAGGACGAGGACGAGGAGGAGGAAGAGGAGGAGGAGGAGGAGGAAGAGGAGGAGGGGGTGGGGGTGGGGGAGGGCGAAGCCCTTATGCAGCAGCGCGATGCTGCTGTCAGTGGCCAAGGGCGTGTGCCTGGAGGCGGCCCGCACGCCTGGGGTCCGAAAAACCGCCACCGTGGGGCACGGCGTTGGGCCACCGAGCGTCGTGGAGGGATGTGGGGCGAGGTTGTTTCTACATTTGGGCCTCCGTTTCCTCCTGCTCCTGCTGCTGTTGCTGCTGTTGCTGTTGCTGCTGCTGCTGCTGTTATCCTCAGATTGTTCTCCTCCTCTTCCTCCGTCCTCCCCCCTCCTCCTGCTTCCCTCCACCCTCTTCCTCCTCCTCCTGCTCCTCTTCCTCCTCCTCCTCATCATCACCACCACCATCATCACCAGCATCATCGTCATCATCACCAACATCATCACCACTGACCGTGAGCACCCTCGGGGCCAGGGGGCATCTCATTTTTCTGGAAGAGGTGAAGCAGCCGGGCTCACGAGTGGCAGCGGCGGGATCGTCGAGGCCGAGCCTCCGTCACCCCTGGGATTGAAAAGAGA